AGCCCGCAAGCCCGCAGCGCCAATTCCCCAGCGTTGCGTGCGTACGCAATACGCTAGCCCTTATATTGCGTTCTGCGCATGCGCACTCACGACACATAGTTTCTTTGCGTACGCAAAGCTTTATCGTACGGTCCACTAAAACTGTCTAATGACCTTTTGTCCTGAACAAAACTTGCCGATTTAAACGGTAAACCATCATTTGTCGCTAGTTCGAAATTTGAAAGGCAACTGGAGATGCCTCTCCCCAGGGCCACCGGCGCCGTGCTCTGACCAAGCTTATTTTGTAGTATTCTAATTGTTTTTTGTTTTTTTTTCGCTTACCATGACGTCGAAATTCTGAGTTTTTTCGGATGAATTCGAATTCACAAAAATTTTACCGGCAAGTGTTTTCAGATTTTATCACATTTATATGAAAACACGAACCCTAGTTATCGCTCGGTTGCTTCAGCTTATACTGTCCGCGGCTGTACATCAGATCTTGAGCAAATACGATTTTGAACACATATCTATATATGTGACTATCCAAACTCATTTGATCTACTTTCGATGATCACTAGTTTATTGAAGGAACAATGAAATTAAATTTGGGCTGAGATAAATGATTTATGATTGGGATTTTACTAATCGCATATCGTTTAGTGGGCCTAATAAAAACTAGTACACGCAGGTAAAAAGCCAAAGCTTGCTTTACGGTACGAAAGTTTGAAAATATAGCGGAATATGTATTACCTCCTTTCCTTCGAAAGCTTTCCGCCTCTTCACTGCGATGAATCCCAGGTGCCCAAGCGCGTCCTCCAAACCCAGCTCACCCATTGGACTGAGTCACTCGGACGTACGCACTCGTCAACAATCAATCCGTCGACGAATATTGGAACGGACAGTGTGCAAAACCGAGGCGCCCCTAGCGGCTCAGGTGCATTTTGGTAAATATTTGTCAACGAAGATCGGTTCAAGCATAGTGGTAAACCCGTGACTGGGGATAGGGACAAGGGACGAAAAGGTAGAACAACACGGCTGGGGATAGGGACAAGGAACGAAAACACAGAACGACACGGACAAAGTCCGTATCGTTCTGTGTTTTCGCTCCTTGTCCCTATCCCCAGGCTCGGGTTCACAACTATGCTCAAATTACACCAGCTAGCCTGGACCCTCATCATTGCTTCATAAGATCGGTTTCCTTCATCGGACGGCGGCCAGCCGCAAGCGGACACCGTGCACTTGCACCACGCCTGCCAGCGCAGCGTACCTCGCCGAGACTTCGCAGGTTGGCATACGTGTACATGAGATGCATTAAGTATGCTTCTCTTCTCGTGACTTTATGAGACGGTAACTTATTCAAGGCGAAGGAAAGCCACGTCGCTTCAGCGCAACAAAACTAACGTCGATCGGTGTACACTGCTCCACGTACCGACTCCTTACGAGTGTTTGTTTTCGACTTCGACAGACTCGAGGAGGGCTAACGCCAAGATTATCATCGGCCTTTCACAATTTTTTATGACGTGTTTTATCCATCGTTTTTAAGCCATCTTTTTCTTTCCCTTTTATTGCCCCGATTCATCTGGCCAATAGCTGTCTTCCTCTTTACCGAACTTTTCGTGGCTTGCCTTCGCCTTGAATCAGCGTCTGATAAAATCACGAGAAGTATACTTATTGCATCACATGCACGGCGTAGGTCAAGCTACGAGGACTCGGCGAGGTACGCTGGGTTGAGGGGCGTGATGTAGGTCCGCGGTGTCCGCTTGAGGCTGACCGCGATCCGATGAAGGAAACTGAAACTAAAATATTCTTTCACAAATGCTTCCCAGAACGTACCTGAGCCGCTAGGGGCGCCTCGGCTTTGCACATTGTCATTTGAGAGCAGGGAAGCGGTGAGCAAGGTAGAATTTGAGGATAGGTTGAGGCAAATGGACGGGGAGCAATGGGCACGAAAGGTTTTCAGTTATTTATACATGAGGAGTGTAGACACAAAGTGGAGACAGCGCACTAGGAAATTAAGAGGAAAGTTTTTGGGCTATAGCGAAGATACGGAAGAGCAAGTCTCAGTTAAGAAGAAAGTTAAGGCCACAGAAAGAGATTGGTGGCTAGAGGGAATGCAGACAAAGACGGCTCTGGAAAGCTATAGATTAAACAAAAGAGTTATTGCCAAAGAAAGCATTTATGACAATTCTAGGGGAAGCTCATTGCTGTTTGAGGCAAGAACGGGTGTTCTGCGAACCAGAACATACAGAGTGAAGTACCAGGAAATTGATACATTGTGCACTGCTTGTGGAGAGGAGGACGAGACGGCTGAGCACTTGATACTCTACTGTAAAGGACTTCACCCTATGCCTACCGAAGACAACATAGATTTAATAAAGTCATTGGGTTTTAGAGACAGCGAAGGGAGAGTGGATTTCAAGACTGTAGAGATTACCAAGCAAAGATTAAGTGAATGGTGGCAGAAATCGAGAGAAAACTAGGTATTTTCTTATCCACTGATGGCAAGGGGGTTTCATAGCCTCACTTTCTTTGCACTGCGGAGTGAATATAGATTTCACATTTAAATATTCTAAGCTTAAATGGTAAAACAAAATGGCTAGGTGGCGTAAGCTACCGCCCGATCCAAAGGGCTCAGCCGTATTCATCCATCCATCCATCCATCCTTGTCGATTCGCGGTCGTGACCAATGAATGCCGTGATGGCACTTATCACTTGTGAATGACAAGATCCATGGTGTGCTTAAAACGCACGGGGGAAGCTTCGAGTCATCGCCTCCGGTGCCCAAGCACGTCACGACCACGTGATCTCAAATGCCGCTTTTGAGTTGAAGGTTAAAGCTAAGGAGGAAGAAGTTAAAAAAAAAAAAAAAAGTTTCATGGTCCCTTTAACGTAAGATACATTCGAGGCCTGGGTAAGTAGAAAAGGCCGACATAAAAAAGCGACTAAATTTAGTGAGCTTACCTTCCGCCAAATTTAGCGGACGGTGACGTGTAGCCACGTCACGAGACGCCCCCATAACTAGGGTCCCCTGTTTTCGGTATGTGCTGATGAACTACGAAAATTCACCCCCGAGTCGGTTTGATCAGAATGGACTGAAAAACCTCGAATTGAAGCCGTCTTTGAATAAAGGGAACCCAAATTCAGGGGAAGAAAAGCTTTATCTACAGTTTTTCTTTTTGTGTTAATTCCTCTGAAGTGTTCACCAGGCTGACTTTTTCTCGGGAAAGCACGCCTCTTATCTTATTTCCTTCCCTTATCGATACCGAGGAGGCGTTTTTCAACTATTCGGGTCATGCGCCTGTTATCTGGTGGTTGAAGATGCCAAGCCCGTGTCCTGTTTCCTTTAACAGGAGTCCCGAAGTACAGCGATTTTTATCTCGACTACACTCTAAGAAATGCCTGCACGTCTACTTACCCGCAAAACACTCAAAGACCCAATTATTTTTGCGATCTACGAAATCAGCTCAGCGAATGATGAGGCGGAACATCTGCTTAGACATCAAAGTGAAGTCCGCGCTGTGGCATTACGCAATGCAAGCATGACGCTTTGCACCGCGTAATGCAACAGCGCAGACTTCACTTTTAAGTCTAAACGCATGTTATACCTTATCATTCGCTGAGCTGATTTCCTAAATCGCAGAGATTGGCTCTTTGAGCGTTTGGGGGTAAAGAGACGCGCAGGCATTTCTTGGAGTGTAGGAAAATGAACACCAAGTAAACGCCAAATCTGTGGGGAAAACAAACCTTGAAAACACGGAACCCTACAGGTAATCTATTTTGCGTAAATTAACTTTGCTAGGGGTGACCGAAACGGGCTATAAGATTTATAGGTAAAGGATGGGCGTAAAAACGCAACGAGTGGCCCACACTTAAAGGGGCGCTGAAGTGCTTTATCTAGAAGCTTGCTTTTGATGGCATATTGTTTCTTGGGCTTTATTCAATAAAATGACCAGCACTAGATGACAACCCGCCCTATAGTAAACTCATGGCAGTAGAAATACACGAGCACTATTTTCTCTTGGTTTGGGGGTGGGGGGGGGGGGGGGGGGGGGCATCTTTGGGTCCCCATTACCTCCATAAAAAGCAACCAGTTAAAACAGTTAAGTGCGCGGAGGTTCCGAACGTTACTTTTTTCGCACTTTTAAGCGCGCGTTGTACATTATATTTTGATAAAAACATCAAGTATTTGGGTGTAGGATACGCAATAAAACAATCGTTTGAAAGCGCCGTCCCACGACGTCTCCTTGTGTCTGCTTCGTGGCGCAGATATATTTTTTTAAGGAGAAGAAAAAGTCCAAGAGGTTGGTTTCGTGTCATTTTATTTATTGGCCCCGTAAGTGATGACATCACAACATGACGCTGTGCTCAAGCTGTTGATAGGGCCGTTCATCTTGGTTTTAAAAGCGCACAAAAGACGAGGACAGAGTAAGAAACACAAACGACGGACGAGTGCTCACTCGCAACTGATAGGTTTTATTGGAACCTCAGAAAACACAAAAAGCATCCCGCGCCCCCCCCCCCCCCCCCCCCCCCCCCAGATCGCTCATTTGTGTTTTCTGAGGTTCCAATAAAACCTATCAGTTGCGAGTGAGCGCTCGTCCGTCGTTTGTGTTTCTTACTCTGTCCTCGTCTTTTGTGCGCTTTTAAAACCAAGATGAATAACTACCAACTAGCCCAACTTTCCACTCTACTGCTAGGGCCGTTTTACAACCGCTTTCGCTTTGATCGCCGACGGCACGATGTCTTCGTGTGTTCAGTGGTTCTTTCTAAGGAAAAGAATCCTTTCCGTGTTGTGTCCATCGAAAACAGCATCACCCGTCGCGTTAGGAAGTATTAGTAGATCGACGTTTCAGGATCGATAACGCCCGAGACTGCATCAGGCGCGCACCTCCGAACAGCTTTTTGAAGCGGCACTCCGAGCTTCACATGCTGATATCCTTGTGGCGAGAGCAATCCAAACAAGCTCCAATAGTTTCCTATCTACGGTCAGCTCCTGAACTATCGTCGGCCTCAGTCATGTAAAGCACGAGGCCGCTATCAATCGCATTGTGTGCGCCCGATAGGTACTCTCTATAAAACGTAAGAGGACGTTCGACCACGACTACAGATTGTAAGTACAGCAAAACGACGCACGACGGTAAAATGCGCAGTTCGACCTTAACTTTGACCTTTGCGGTCCTATTGGCCGCAGAGTGCGCGTTTGGCACCTTCAGGTAAGACAACTTACCTTTTTCGTTTGGTAAAAGAACTGAAAGCGTATTCGATATTTTCTCCTTGTGGTCATCATATCAGCGGTATTAGTGCAAGTCCTCCGAAGACTCCACAATGAATGGTTTGCTTGAGAGAATAGATTATCACGTTGGCGTGAAAAGACTTTCTTGTTTTCATAAAATGTAAACTAAAATGGAAATGAAGTCCATTCACGTTTAATGCAAGAGTGCAGGCGAGCTGATTGAGAAGTGACATTTTTTTTTTTTTTTTTTTGCCCTGGAAAGTGGGAAAATAGAAGGGCAGGACCACACGAACCTCTAACCACAGCGAAGGTTTGTTTCACAAAGAACAACCTTAAATCAACTGAAAGAGGAACTATGCATGCGTTTTAAATTCATTAATCTTACCTAACACAGGCTTAGTTCCCCTTTTCTGCTTGACTTCATTCATCGTACCTATAAAGCAGGCCCTAGTCCCCCCCCCCCCCCCCCCCCCCCCGGCCCATTTTT